GTGTTAAAAATAAGAATTTTGTAATGCATTTTTTAAACAATTTTCATGGAAACCCTATATTTTCTTTACGGAAAATGAAAGTTCTAAACTTTACTTATTGTTTAGTTCAACTTGTATTTTTCTAATATCAGAATTTGACGCATTTTGTTCAGAATCTGATGTCAGATTCTGTAGTATACCTGCCCAACCTTTGCCATTGACAGATTTAGCTGACAAGGATTATAGGCCGGTATTCAGAGTCGTTGCTTATTCTTAAGATCGTCTTAAGAATTTGCTATCCTTGTCTATCCTATATTTCCAGTGCTTGTCTTGTACAGGGAACAGGGACTTAAGCAAATGCTAAAGATGATCGCAAGAATAAGCAACGACTCTGAATAGTGGCCATAGAGTAGGCTGTGATTAGGCCCATGATTCTTGTCACTTTTATCGCATCGTTCCTTGTGCAGGGCTCTGTGTTAACGACGCAAGAGGAAGAAGGTTACGAAATCGTGGCAAGGTGTACAGTCTGTGTGAAACTGCATTCCCGATGACCATGTGTCACGTCACACACGCCACAGTGACTGAGTAACGCATTTGCTGCCGAAGCGAATGGCATGGTCATGATATGATGTGAAGGAATTTGGATCGTGCGAACTTTGTGCAAACAGTCATACACTGTACGCGCGCGTAATCTATCAGTTGCGGTGTGATAAGCTGTGAATAGTCGTCCCGACGAGCCGTGCACATCCGTTGAAACGAATTTCGTTCCTCTTATTCTCGCAGGACAAACTTTGACCCCACCGATTTTTCGTTAAGCAGAAAAGTTACGAGGAAGGACGAGAACTCTTCTGTGTCTGTGCGCATCATCACCTTTGTTCATCTCCTCTTCTCCTACTCATCCCATCGCCTAGTCTCTGTTTCTCGCGCGCCAGCATCGAACTACTTGGCTCGGAACAAAATCGAAAACGTCGAGCGAAGCTCGGCCAGCGGAGGTAAGTAAGCGAAACTATTTCACGTAGATTCTGTTATAAATGTTGAGAGCCGGTTTATCTTTATGTCACTTTTTTAAATAAAATTATCATTTACTTTAAGCGCGTCTTAAGAGAATCGATAGATTTTAGTGCTCGATTTTATTTGCACCGGGAGTCTAAGGAATCCAGTGTAATATCGTCTTTTTAGGCAAGGTGCGTGAAATGTCAAATTGTTTCGCGACTCTCCATTCGAATCTTGCGGCACCCACGTTTGAAATTCGTCCCCTGCAATCCTTTTATCTAGTTTCCAGCAATTTGTCGTGATAAATTGATAAACATGTGTTACATTCAGATAACGTTACCAAAATCACGTAATACGTATACTCACGCAGCTGCATGCATATATCGCGAATGCCCTGAATCCGCGATGCAACGTGCGGATAATAAGTATACGGCTCGAACGTTTGTCTATTTTTGTTGCGTACGCAGCAACTTGCAAATCAGTTTAATTTTGGTTCCCGGATACTATTCGCTGGCTAGTCTGAAATGAAACAGTTGTGTTTACGTTTGTTTGCACCTAGAATTAGAAATTATTACAGCTTAGCAAATAAACGTAAAGTTGCGGTCTATGAGATTTTTTTTAACAAGTTGCATCCCTTAGGGATGAGAATTTTTTACTTCTTAGGAATTTCCACTATATTTTCACAGTATTTAATTAACATGCAATGTATTATATATCGAAAATAAATAGAGGAGTAGATTTTTTCTTGCACAAAGTATACGATTAAAAAGAAGCATGCGTTATTTATTCTTCTTGCAGATATCTTTTTTTATTCGCATCAATTGGTAGAGGAAAATATATTAAGCGAATTTATAATAGATATTGACCCAGTTTGAATGGATTGTCTTTCTATCATTCTTTTTCGCTGAATGTAATTTCGAAACGTAAAAGCTTGCGTTCGCAATCATCGATACTCGTTGCACCTATTGTAATGGATGTACATATGCAAATATTAATCTTTGCTACCTGTTTTACACATGTAAATGTATTTTGAGACAAGAGGCGCTTGACTGTTGAATAACTAAAAAGAGCCACTCAATTTTCTTTTTACATTGTCGTTCTGCGACTCGATAACGCGAAGCATTCACGTGACTGACTAATAAAATTACGCGAGCGTAACCGCGGAATGAAATACGCGTCTGATTTTTATGGACATCGGATTCGATGAGTCATCTTCCTCGAAAAATATTTCCATATCCTTCCGCATTGTCTATATTTGGAAAATAAAATACGTTTACTAGAATCACGCTATTAGGTTGTCCTAAAGATTCATTTGGCATTCTGTTAATCCTACTAATCGTTTTTCAATTTGTCTACTTGGAAAACAATATTTTACAAGGATGATCGTTTCACCTTGTAACAAGGATTGATAAATGAAGCGTTGCGTTTAGATAGCAAAGGGAATTGTAGGAACTTATTATTTTCCACGTACGAATCGATGATCAAGGGATATAATGTGCCAATGGAATAGTCGAACAGTGACGCGATCGCGAGCGTTCGTTTAATCAGTTCACGGCTCCGAATTGAAAGCAATTAAATATAAGAATGTAATGCGAGCATCTGCAATTGGTTGATTTATGATCGCAATTGTTCCACGTTCGAAAAGCTAAAGTGAATAAATAATGCGCACTTGTTATGCTCGAATTTCGAATTTCATCGAACGTATGATGCAACGAATAGGCTGTAGTATTTACGCCTCGATGTTTATGTATTTACTATTAGCTACAGTACGTAAATCAGCACTTTAGACCGATGTAAATTGTCCTACCGTAGAGCAAGCATGGGCAAAAGTGGTTCTCAGAAGCCACGGCCTTGAGCGCAAGCTAAGGTGGGGATGCTTGACGCTACGTACAGGCGCGTATATACATTTATGAATAGTGGGGAGAGCGACTAGTATAGGATAAAATGAATTGCCTATGTCTGCTATAGATAGGGATGCCAGAATGTAGGATTTCTCCTCTTCCCGAGCTCTCCCCATTACTGTATGCTGCTGTATGCTCAATGTGCTCTCCCCACTTACATATAGCATTATTAGACATGTTCCCAATGATCATGGGTAACGTAAGTGGGGGCAAAAAAAGTAGTGGGGGACAGCTCGGGAAGAGGAGAAATCCTACATTCTGGCATCCCTGGCTATAGAGGTAGTACACGACTACTTGTACGTACAGTGACTCCCATTAATTCGGACACATTTTTAAAACTGAATAACTTTTTTCGTACAAAAGCAAACAATTTCATTTTCTGCAGACTGTTAGGAGGCCTGGTTTACTATATAATACGTAACATAATATTTTTCTAACGTCAAAATTAAATTGTTTGGTCCATCGTTAAAAAGGTTGTTCCCCTTTGAAATGCATCCGAATATTAATGGAAGTTACTGTAAGTCTGGTATTATTAAAACTATACAATTAAACCTGAAACTTAAAACTAATTGTATAAATAACAATATTTGTTTTGTGTGAAACGGAATAATATTTGTATCATGACTTAAATAAAGTATATCCAATAATATAACATTTAAAATACAAACTTAGATTAGTTATTTAAAGAAATAAGAAATAAAGTAGATTCTTACGATTAGAACGAAGTAACAATACTAACGATATTGAAATAAATTTTTCTTCTTTTTTATCCACGTTCTTAATGTTACTTTCATATATTTTTGGCTACAGTTTAATGTTTTAAGCTCTTGTGAACAAAATATGAAATCCTAATGCATTTACTACTTTTGTAACTACTAGATTTCTTAATTAGAGGTAAAAGTAGATTCCTATTCCTGGTTTTGCTTGCGATTGATTTGTCTTGTATTTAAAATTGAGCTAAGCACAAATATCTTTAGAAGTAGGGTTTTGCATTCGTTACTTCTGATAATTATTTAAACAATCTCTTTTGTAAGGATTCAAGTAAAAGTAACGCATAATGTACCACTCCATGCAATCGTGTCATCGGTTACAATGCTGTCGAAAAAGGCATAGTACATTTGTAGTAAAGAATTTTCGTTCGTGACGCTTGCTAATTTCTTAAAAAGAAAGGAACTGGTTTTGTTAATTATTAGACTACTGATTTTTATACAAAGTAAAACATTTACGGTGTCAATATTTTAGGCAAACATCCATTTCAGCATTTAAATATCGCATGCAACTCTCGTATTCTCTACAGTTTTATAGGTCACGCGTAGCGTTTATATTATTATATTATTATATTATTTATATTCAATATCCTTATAAATGCATAACATCCGCTGTCTACTAATAACCTATGTTATATGATAGTTCCATTTTAAATGACTATCAGTCTGCACTTCAAATGTGTTAAGTACTGCTGGCTTTGATATACGAATGGACTTAAGACGAAGAATAATACTAATGAAATGACTCATTTAAGAATGACTAGCATGTGTGATGGTTTGGGATTAGTAAGAGGAAAATGCAGAGTTAGAACAGTTATTTCTCGACTAATTTCCAATTTACGACCTTTTATCCGTAGCTGAAAGGGATGCAATCAAAGTGGGCTTGTATACTACTTAATCTAGTCGTTTACGCCATCGCTTCACTGGAAGATGAGAACACTAGGGCCTTCATACAGTTAACCGAATTGGATTACGAAGACACTTGCTCAGCCTCAGCCGAAGCTGAATGGGAATTCATTAATTCACCAACGCACAAAACCTTGCTGTCATGGGTAAGGTTTTTACAGTAATTGGCACGCGATGTTATTTGTTCCAAACTGTGGAGCAAGTTTAATGTGAACAGCGGCGGATTAAGATCAGTGGGGGCCCTAAGCGGTAAAAATTTCGACCCCCTCCCTCCACCAAAAAAATTTGGTGGAAATTGTCATTATGTTACAAATAAAAAGGGAAAGTAATTAAAAAATTTTGAAGCGTGGGCCCCACAGGATAGTAACTCGAGGTGCCTCATATTGGGAAACACTGTCTTAAAACGTACATATGCAAAATTTGGCGCAGATCGATGAAAGGTCTTAGGTCTTATAAAGCGATACTTTATTTCATTCGTTTAAAACCTCTCCTCAAAATTAGTGCTTTTCAAGAGAAATTTAAATCTCCTCTTAAAAATAAGACACTTTAATAG